GAGTGAGTAGATGAGGTGTCGAATAGAGTGAGTATTACATTACGGTTTGAAGTACAATGTAGTAGGTGCGGGTATCTTGTCGGCGAGTAGATGTATCGGTAGTAGGTGGTGGGTGTAAGCGAGGCGGCAATGCTAGAGGATGTGAATGAGGTCCAGGGGGAAGAGTAGTGAGTAGAGGAGGTAGGTGATGGCGAGTAGCCAGAAGGTGAGGTGGAGTAGTGGGTAGTGGAGTGAGTAGGTGATGTGTCGAATAGAGTGCGTATTAGATTACGGTTTGAAGTATGTAATGTCATGTGGTTGTGTGTAGTTGGTGAGTAGTACAAGTGGTGTGAGCACGGCAGTGCGTAGGTGTGACCGTAGGTGTAGAACGTCGAGTGGTATTGTTAGTGAGTATGTTAGGTAGGTGATGGTGAGTAGCCAGAAGGTGAGGAAGAGGTTGATAGCTGAGAGGAGGTTGTAGTTGTATGATGGATGTTAGTAGTAAAGTGAGTAGGTGAGTGACTAGGTGAGTATTAGATTACGGTTTGAAATATGTGATATCATGTGGTTGTGTGTAGTTGGTGAGTGGTACTAGTGGTGATAGCACGGCAGTGCGTAGATGTGAACGTAGGTGTAGAACGTCGAGTGGTATTGTTAGTGAGTATGTTAGGTAGGTGATGGCGAGTAGCCAGAAGGTGAGGTGGAATAGTGGGTAGTGGAGTGAGTAGGTGAGGTGTCGAATAGAGTGAGTATTAGATTACGGTTTGAAGTATGTGATGTCATGTGGTTGTGTGTAGTTGGTAAGTAGTACTAGTGGTGTGAGCACGGCAGTGCGTAGGTGTGACCGTAGGTGTAGAACGTCGAGTGGTATTGTTAGTGAGTATGTTAGGTAGATGATGGCGAGTAGCCAGAAGGTGACGAAGAGGTTGATTGCTGAGAGGAGGTTGTAGTTATATGATGGATGGTAGTAGTGGAGTGAGTAGGTGATATCATGTGGTTGTGTGTAGTTGGTAAGTAGTACTAGTGGTGTGAGCACGGCAGTGCGTAGGTGTGACCGTAGGTGTAGAACGTCGAGTGGTATTGTTAGTGAGTATGTTAGGTAGATGATGGCGAGTAGCCAGAAGGTGACGAAGAGGTTGATTGCTGAGAGGAGGTTGTAGTTATATGATCACCTCTTGTCATCATTAACTATCGTGTGATGTACTACCCATAGGTAGTGCCGTGACTAATTAAATACATTAGTTCAATCACTTGTCGATGTCACACTGGTTCTGTTTAGAGTGCCAGTAGCGATAGTGTCATAATAGATTGTATCCAACCTCGGCGTCTTCCGCCTTAACACAACAACAGACTTCACCTACGGTTCTATTTGTATGTCTTCATCTTCACTACGATGTCTACCATGTAGTGTGTTTCTCCACACATCTTCGATGGGGTAGCTAGCCACACACTTTATCTGAATATCTGTGCCGTGCATGCGGAAGGGGTGTAGAACATGAAATTTTTGTGGAACCATCAATCTGCCCAATACACACGAACATAGATTTGATAACATTAGATTGATATGTGATGACATCTTACGGTGTAAAATACCCAACCTTTGTTGGTGACATTGCCTTGTGTGATAATAAGGCCAACACCGATATTTGATGGGACAAAGCACGTCTCCAATGTGAGCGGATGTGGAGGAGGTCCAGAGGTATTGTTAGACCGTAGGTGAAGTACAGAATGGCTACAAGCCAGAACGTTAGGAGGTAGTACAGGAACGGTTTGCGGATGCAAAAGAGGAATGCGTTGATGGCTGAGAGGAGGTTTTCGAAGAGGTTGCCGGTGATGACATTTTGTAGTTGAGTGGAGAAGTCTTTGCATTGGCGTTTTTTGCCAGTGTGCAATGATTTGGCGTCGAAATATACGAAACCGTATTGGTAAAACAGTGGGAGGACGTCAGCGCATTGGACGATGGTGGGACATTGGCAGTTGACATGTTCACCTTTTTTGCATTCTTTGCAGACACAATTTTCGCAACTGAGATTGTTGAAGTCTTCTAGTAACTCTTCAAGACCATCTTTGAGGACATCCGTGAGGTACACAATACGTGATAGATAGGACATAGCGAAAGTTTTAGAAATATTGCGATAGATACTATAGGAGAGCGATTGGAGGTACTTGCCACAGGTTACGCTCATGGTACATTCACTGTTGTAGAGGCTGTGGAGGGTGTAGAGGTCGGCATCGGAGGTGTGGTTACCGTTATGTTTTTTACCAGCTAGGGTTTGAACAGCGGTAGTAAGATTTGTAGATTCAGTATTGCACACTCCGGGGAAATCATTCATTTTTTCTTGAATGGCAGTAGCGACACTAGGGGAAGTACCACCACCATTATTCATTTTCTCACCAAGATACAAGAAAAACGCGAAGAGATCGCCGACTGTACGGGGGGTACGTAGGCTGCAGCACATTAGACATATGATTGTGTTGTAGAGAGTGACGGAGTTACGGTCACTTTGGGTGAAGTAANTTCTACATTGCCCTTTAAGGAAATATAATTGAGACAATAAATGATACACCACATCCCAAAGCTTATTGAACCAATCGGATGGGTTGTCTGGGTAATTGAATTTGAAGTGGGAATTGGAATAGATGTTGTGGAGGTTCAATTGTGGTTTGGCAAGAGAGGTGTCAGTTGTCGTCGTGGATGTTGTCTTTGGTGTACACAATTTCCCTTGTATAGTGGATAGGACCACAGCGGCGTAATGGCAAGTGGTTGACATATAACAATCGAAAGGGTCAGTGTCACTGTCTAAAGTGATATTCTCATCATCATCGAATGGTATACTATCACTACCATGTTTCGTAATACCCTGTTGAATAGTTGCAGGTGCTAGCTGGAAACAACTACTATATGGCAGGGCCATTAACCAATAGAGCATTTCCCTTATGGTGGTTGGAACACGGGTGCCATCGTTGAATTGCGATTGAAAATAATATTGTGATGCGAGGTAGAGACTGGAGAGGGGGTGGGAGGTTGGTGATGTTTTGGTTAGTACTTGTTTGATGTATTTCGAGTAGTCAGCGGTGATGGTGGCGCCCTTGTTGAACAAATCGTTGAGTAAATCTTTGATATTCGAACCTTGCTTATCATCTTGTAGGTCATCATTTTTATAACCACAACAGATGAAATAGATGCCAAGGGCGTTGGAAGTGTCGTGGATATATTGAGTGGACCAACGATCACCACTACCATTACCTTCATTACATTGCCAATACAAATAACTTAGACCGGAAAAAATTACGGGGATAGTGCCGAGGAAGATTGCAGCGCAAAGTTGTTTGTGGTCGTTATTATTACAGGTGGCATCTTGATAAGATGAGGTGTAACTAGTACCACTAGCACCAGCACCACCACTTTTATCAATGAACTTTTGCAAGTTATCGGCCAAATTGTTGATCAAATTAGAACCATTACTACCATTCTGCAACGATGCTGTTACTGCGTCAAGCACAGTTTTATCCTTTTCGAGTTTGTCAGTGGCATCCTTCTGAGCTTCTTGAAGTAACTTCGCAACCTTCCCATCAGCGGCACTGGCAATCACACCTTCGTAGTATTCATCAACTTTCTTCCCCAGTTGTTCGATGTGATCGGTGACACCTTTCTCAAGTAGACTCTTCACAGCCTGTCCAAGTTTCTCACCATTCTGATCACCATTCTGCCCATCCTTCCCCGTTAACCTCAGAATCCAATCAATACACTCCTTCAGGTTACCCGGGGGACACAAAAGTGTCATGTTGGCCATTCTTCGAACAACCACAACTCTCCGTCATTGAAATATACACCTTACAACATTTCACATTCTTCCACAAATAACCTATATGTTCCTCATCACTAAGCGACATGGGGGGGGATATATAGGTGCAACTGCTACACCACACGTTTGGGACAACACCTAGTGTCACTCAGACTGACAAAATATTCTTCACATATTTTCTCTGTCACCCCTTTAAAAACATGTTTCAGTAACCCACGTTCTGCGTCTGTGCACCCATGTTCCGAGTTGAACCACTTGAGACAGGCCCTTGCCACCCTCGGTTGCACGCCGACTATCGCCAACAGTTTGTCCCAACCCGTGGTTGCATATTTTCCACCTTCATCGAACGGCTCGAAATGTGCCCCTAGGTTACGCAGTGCCATGGCTGTGTCCATCCGTCTGTGGTGTATCCACCCCCGTATAGCCTCGGCTTCGGCCAGGGTGACCACCACGAACCTACGTCCCGCATCCA